ATGAAGAGGCGCTGGCTGGCGTGTTGAACTTGAAGTTATTGGTTTTGTTATTTTTACTCGAAAAGATTTTCCTGTTGTGTTGTGATATACAAAAAAAAAATTTTCAATAAAATATGAAGACAATAATAGCTGCAAAAGATAAATCATAATAAACACAAACTGAAGTCACCCGTCGTCGTTTTAGCAACATACGTTAAATTATGAGCCGTCTTTAGAATGCATTATATCATAAGTAGTAAATTTATTTAAACCTTATTAATTATGATTGGTAACGGAACAGCGATCGTGGATGGCATGAGTGCTACAGATGATGCGGATGCTCGTAAAGCGAGTGACTTTTGCAAAGATTATGTTCGGGGCAACTGCACTCGTGACAATTGTAGATTCTTACACGAATTACCTCCTAAAGGCTTTCTGAAGGAGCTCTTTCGGTTCTGCCATGACTTTCAAAACAAAGGTTGCTTCAGATCAAATTGCAAGTTTATTCACTGTTCAGTAGAAGACGAGGAGCGTTTTTATGCGACTGGAATAATCCCTCGGGACCCTCGAAATCCCTTATGCCAAGCTTACATCCAAGGAAATTGTATAAACAATGATTGCAAACTGGTTCATCCTCCAGATGTAGTAGGCAATGATTTGATTCCTGTGATGAATCTGCCACCACCAATGTTCACTCGGCCTCCTCCACCAATCAGAGATGAAGACTCTCCACCAGAACCTAAGTTTAGAAGATATACATTTGACGAAAGTGCAATAGATAAACAAGTTATGCCTTGCTCTTCCACATGTAATAACTGTGAAGCTCTAGACCACAAAGTCAAACTGTTACATGATAATATTAGTGTTCTATTAAAGAAGGTTGCAGATTTAACTGAGAAAAATATGCAGCTTACTTCCATGAATGAATTTCTATTAGGACAAACTGCTTCAATAAGAAGTGATCAGCCATGTGTTATAACTTCTAGACATGGTGGTTCTGCTCCGGTGTCTTTGGCTACTGTAAGTGTGACTCCCGTGGTGAGTTTGGCAGGAGCTCTACCTGCCTTAGTTCCAGCAACAGCAACGTCTAACTTAGCTCTTGCACCAGCTGCTTCTAGAACTCAGCTGCTAACTCCAGCTCCACAAATATTGACAGTTAGTACTACCCAGCAACTGGTTGGCAACTCAGGGGCACTGATAGTTACTAGTGCTGGGGCACAACAACTGATGCAAGTAAGCGACTCTGGCACATTGATGGGTGGTGGACAGACAGTAGTAGCAGTAACACCAGCGCAGCTTACTTTGGCCCCACCAACTCAACAACTTATAAGTAGTGCACCACAAACAACTGTACAGCAATTAGTACAGCAGTCTGCATTACAGTCCCAACTTGCACCACAACATCAAGCACCACAGTACGCAGCAGCCCAACATAATACTACAGTGCAACACTTAGCTGCTGCTCAACAGTCGGCGCAGCATTTAGCGGCCCAGCAGTCAGCACAGCATCTAGCCGCCCAACAATCAGCCGCTCAGCAATCGGCTCAGCATTTAGCTGCACAGCAGTCAGCTCAGCATTTAGCGGCCCAACAGTCAGCACAGCACCTTGCGGCCCAACAGTCAGCGCAGCACCTTGTGGCCGCTCAGCAGTCAGCACAACAGCTCGCGCAACAGTCCGCCCAGCAGATGGCAGCACAACAATCAGCTCAACAACAACTGGTGCCCTCTGCGCAGCAACTAGTTCACCACGCCCAGCAAATGGCCGCACAGCAGTCGGCGCAACAGCTGGCTGCGCAACAGTCTGCTCAGCAACAGCTAGTACCCTCTGCCCAGCAGCTAGTGCACCAAACGTCAACTCAGCAGATCACAATGTCTAGCCAAGCTCAGTCAATGGCGCTGCCCAACTCTCAGGCCCAATCCATAACATTCCCCATAATATCACAAAGTATACTACCACACTGATAAAATATAATGCAGGTTTCTTTGTTTAAAATCATATACTTGTATTTATGCCAACAACATTGAAATATGTTATAACTTAGATATTTAAGGTTTATTGTGAATAATAATGTGTGAATGTTAGTTCTTTTATTACCAACTTAATACAAGAATTACTTTGCTTAAGATCTACACAGTGTTGTTAAAATGATAGTAAATGTAGCAATAACTTGGTCATAATATCAATTTCATTTATAAATGTAATCTATGGACATAACTGAAATGAGTAGATCCAAGTTTAATTGATTTATTGTTTCAGTCTGAATGAAGTCCAATGACAGTTTTGAGCTAAGATCAAGATTTACCACCAATTGTTTTGTTAAACTTTAAAGTAATTTAAATTAATCAATAAATAATAAAAAAAATAATATCAGATAAAAATAAAAGATAGATTTGTAGGTGTCTGATTAATAAAGGTGAAAGTTATAGTCAAAATATTGAAATTGTATTTAAAGCAGCCATGTCTCATACTTGTTTTCTCTGTAAGATGTAGGTAATGCTCTGGCCACACAGAAGCGGTACCGGGAGCATCCCGAATTATTGTAGTGTTCGAGTTTATATGCCACATTGAAACCGGGTGGTTGCCGGGGCGGCGCGTTCCGGGGCCGAACGCTATGACAAACAAGCGCGAGCCGGATCCGGATCGGACGCGGGGTTATGCTGTGTTTGTGTAGTATTCTGTGGTTCTATGCAAGCGTCCACATAGAGCGGCAGCGGCGGGGCGCGGTCCGGGGGTGCACGTTGTATATTTTTGCAACTCTTGAATATGTTTTTTTTATCAAGTTTCAATGTTAATTCGATCGAAATAAAGCGAACTAAAAGAAACGATATAAATTTCAACACTGATGTAGACATACCAGCGAAAGCTTAGTAGCTTAGCGTAGACTAGCGTCTATAATCAAATAAATACATAAATAAAATTTCTTTTGCGTTGCTTCCGTAACGGTAATAAAAGCAGTTTTTTGTTTCTGATTTTATCTGACAGCGATATGATGCTTTCTTTAAAATCTAAGCAGGAGTAGTAACTACGCGTAGGACTGCTGCGTGTCACGTCTGCGGTCCGGGCCCCCCCGACTGTGTGGCCTGACCTTTAAGGTGGAAAACTAATACTTGAACATAACGTGCAAAACTTTATGTGAAAACAGAACCGTAATATACCACTGACACCACCTTGATATTATTCTGTTTTAAAAATGCTTCAATTTGCTACTTTGGGTTGTAATTTTAAATTAGGTAATTTATTTTTAGTAATAAAAGTATTGTTAAAGTATGCAACTATATTTAATTTTTACATGGCTCGTCTACTGATAAAATCAGACATGTTTCAGTTCATGCCTGGCTTCTCATTCATGTTTATGTTATTACTAAGAACCACGTCTTGATTATCATTTCCGTCCATGTTTTGATTATCGTTTTCTCTATGATAGCAAACATTCTTCTTGTACTTCAGTATTTTTCCTTTGATTCCAATTACAAAGTTTCCAATGTTGTCAAAAGCTACAGCTGTTACCTTACCAGGTACATTAGCCACAGTCACCAGTTTGCCAATGTCTTTTTCATGGAAATATATCAAATCATCACTAGCGACGAACACATGTTCTTTATGGAAAGAAATTTGAGCCAAACCGTCATAAGTAATGTTACCGATATATACTGGTGAAGATAAATCGTTCTTCAGTACATACAACCGCTCCTCTTTTATATAATAGAAATTGTTCTTATCATCAATGCCAAGTTCGTTTAGAGCTTCAAGAGTATGGAATCGAATTTTCTTTTTTCCATCAAGTAGGAATAACTCTTCAACTCCATTGTTGCTCTCCGTAATATACTGATTTCCGTCTTTGTCGACGAATATCATATCCAGTTTCAATGTAGATTCGGAGACGGGTGTTGCGTTATGTGTTTCATAGTCGTATGTGAATATACCTCGTCTAGTGCCAAAGTATACTTTGGTGTTTTTCTTGTCGATCGCAACCGAGTAACTGGTGCCTTCGGGTAAACCTAAGTATGTACAGAGAGAAAGTTTTGATGTTAAAAAAATGTGTAAAAAGCTCCATACACGTGTGCGGTTGCGGCATACATTCCCTGTTTGTATAATTGTTGCGAAACCGTGTTTGATGTGTGGAGCTCAACATACATACAACATCGAGACGGAAACAATGAATCTGACGCGTACCTAAACAAAATTAAACTTCCGGACCAAGTGGTATACTCATTTCATAATTTCTACAATGGAAAATAGATAGGTGCTTAAGTACCACAATTTAATATTTGATGATAAATAATCTCAGTAGAGTACTAAAAAACCGACCTCAAAAGTCATTATAGTTACCCACCCTTGGAGGTGGAATATTTTCTTTAAATGGGACCACTAATGAGGTGCCCTATCCAGCAAAAAAAAAAAAGAATAATTAAAAATCGATTGCCGCAGTTATCGTGTAACATACATACAAAAAAAAAAGAAAAGCATACAGTCGAATTGAGAACCTCCTCCTTTTTTAAGTCGGTTAAAATACATATTTAGAGATACTGGACGAGATGGTCATTTTTACGTAAAATACTATACTGTATGAACTGCGCACATAGTATATTTTTCAGGTATTGTGCCACAATCTATCACACTAACACCAGGTGGGTTGGGAACTTTACAAATGTCTCTCAAACGTTCTATAATTATTTAAATAATCTCAGTACGTCAGTAATCTAAGTAGAGTACTAAAAAACCGACCTCAAAAGTACGTGGAATTACATACAATTACCAAGTTTTATTGACTCGGAAAGTGCGCAAACCCGGATTCATCCCCTAGTTCGCCACTATAAGGGATTTGACACAGGAGATAATAAAAATCGGTTCTCACTTCTCAAACTATACTGAGAGAGAAAAATGCCTTGAATTGGAGAATAGAAAAATCAACCATTAAAATATTTGCTCCTTATAATCAAATATAGGCGCTATTTATAAAAATGAATCTTGGTACGTGAGCAGCCAGCCTCAGAGGTGGATGATTTTCTTCAAAATAAAATGGGACCACTATGGAGGTACCCTCTTTGCAACAAAAAAAAAAGAATCATGAAAATCATTTCACATATACCGGAGTTATCGCGTAACATACATATAAAAAAACATAGTCGAATTGAGAACCTCCTCCTTTTTTTTAAGTCGATTAAACAAAGGATAAAATTAAAAATACAAATCTCACCAGTAATTTTTTCCGGAGAAGTAGTTTTAAATTTAATCACCTTGACGTCGAAATAGAACCCTTTGTCGTCTTTACCAGATTCCACATAAAATAAATTGCCATAAACATCGTAATGAGCGTCTGTGGGGTATGCGTCCCCCGTGTGGTAAGTATCCGTTATATTGAAATGATCGTTATTGATCTTTATATCTGCGCAACAACCAGTTGCAGGCAAATCAAATGCCAGTGATTGTTGTATTATGACAATTAATAGTATTAACTTCATGCTTGTACACCAAAGAACTGTTCTGGATGAGGACTGTCCTAGGAGTACCTTTTATTCTGAGATATATCTTACAAATTACACTTATCAATTTATAAAATTAATGTATTTAAACTGGCGCCAATGTCCCCATAACGACTAAAGAGAATATTTTTATGATAACGTTTGCAATAAAAATCATTTTTGCTACAAATATTGTTGCTTGATTACAATTTTATTAAATATGTTAACATTAAATGTATTAATTAACTATACATATAACCGATAAAATAATATTTATTGCACATTATTATACCTATTAATAAGTCTTTTATGTAGTTTTGCGTTGCTCCATGTGTAGGTAGGTACTTACTAAGGCTTTCAATTTCGCTGCATTTCCGCGTGCCGGAAAAAAATACCGAGACTAAGGGTCGTATTCCAGAACTCTACTCAATACTCAAGTCAGGAGTTGAGTATTGCAGTGAGCACTGAAAATCATACTCAAATCCTTGCCGTTAGGGTCGTATGTCCAGTGCTTGAAATCATACTCAAGTCTGCTCAAATCCTGACTTGAGCATTGAGTACAGTTCTAGAATTTGAGTATGGTTTAAAGCACTCGAAATCATACTCAAGTCCCTACCATTAGGGTCGTATTTCCAGTGCAATCCTGACTTGAGCATTGAGTAGAGTTCTAGAATACGACCCTTAGTGCGGTCTGAAAAATCCCGGGAAAAACGATACTTTCGAGACTACTTGAAAAGTATGTTTCCATATTTATAGGCTCGGCAGTTAAAACATGATGTCTTAATTAAGATACTTAACTCAAATTTTACAAAAAAATATTTATGAAACTTTTTTCATTTTTATAATAGTTACGTAACAGAAATACTGATTTTTATTACAATTGTCTAATTTCCATATGCTCCACACTACAGTGTTGCCATATCCATGTAAACATAAAAAAAATACTGTGTGTCGAGTAGATGTTTAACACTTATTAAGTGACTTTAATCTCAAAAGTATCGACATTCCCGAGACTGAAAACATCAGTTACGAGTCACGAAGATACCGAAAAATTGCCGACTCTCGGAAATTTCGAGACCGAGATTCCCGGGACGAAAGCTCTAGTAGGTACCTAACATACATTGCTTGTAGACATTAAAATATGTCGGTTCCTAAAATGAGGCAAGTTTTGAACGTCGCTATTGCAAGGCTAATTTTATTTAAAAAGGAAAAAATTAATAATCCTTTTTATAATTAAAAATTATAAAAAGGAAAATTTTATTTATTTTAAAAAGGCCAAGTCTTTGCAAATGTCTATTCATTAAAAAAAAACAATCATTGTCGCGTGTGTGTGTGGACTGAGGGCCCACATGATTTTTGCCATTTGTAATTCGAAGTGGGTTCTGAAAAACAGGTATACGAAATAATCGTTATAAGCTTGTTCTTTAATTATTTGAAGGATGCGAGAGGGGAATGTAGTCGATCAATTAAGAACTAGGAATAAAGCGTGAAACACACAGAGAGCGGGTGCGGGTCGGGTCGGGTCGGGACCGCAGCGAGTCCCGGAATTAGACTCGCCACGGTCACAACCCAACTCGCGCCCGACCCGCACCTGCTCTGTGTGTTTCACGCTTAAGCGTCTTCTATTTAAAGTGGTTCATACTGTACTTCATTTACAAATCAGTCAAAACTATTAAAAAACAACTCAGGCTACAACCCGTAGGTTCTAATATTAATAACTAAGATGGCAATTGTTAGCATTTATAGCATTGTTATCGTTTTCCTCCGAATTTTGGTACTGTAGGTATGAAGGTAGCCGACCTTGTCTTTCGCCCTTGATTTTATGTACCTTCCAACGATGTCCTTGCAGTATTTTCCTGTAATCATAAGTTTAATTCATAATGAACCCAAAATAGACACGGGTGTTTTTATTAAGAAGTTTAATCATGCCCTTATAACTAACACAACCGACATTTTTAGATCGAAATTAATATATCTGGAATCAGCGAAACAAGATCTCTATAAGCAGTTTTTTTGTATCTTATTCAGTTTCAGTTTTATTATTAACCATAATTATAACTTTTTTATAAAAAAATCGACCGAAAAAGTTCGTGGAATTACAAACGCAGTTAATGCGTGAAGTCGTAATCAATATGCCAACATGCGGTTACAGGCCGAGTCGGAAGATCTTACGAAATACTTTTAGTGTTTGTTACAGATCATTGTATTGGGTTTAAATGGCCTTTTCGTTCAATTCAATAAATAAATAAAGTAACTTTTCAATATTAATAATAAACACATGAAGAAATTCGTAAGATCTTTTGCCTCGGTCTGTAGCTCAGTGGGTTAAGTGTTGTTGGCCCCGACATGGCAACAGACACTGGTCCAGTCAGATCGAAGGAATTTTTCTTTGTATTCGATCTTTGTATCAATAATAATAACCAGTTACTGCCAAGTACTCTCTTTTTAATGGGCGAAACTCACTTTGTGTTGAACTTTTTGCAGCATACGTCGCAATCAACTGTGCCTTGCCGTAAATGGATGTCTTTCAGATGCCGCTTCATGTCGTGTTGGTACGAGAACGCCTTGTCACAGTAAGTGCACTGCAAACGAGGAAAAATTTCTTGATAAGTTAATAGAGAATAGTCAATGAAAACGTCGCTTGGCCACAAAAATTAGGTATATAGCAGACTTAATTTGTGCTCAGAATACATATCAATAAAAACATTGAAGTCGATATATCTCTGGGAAGTAATTAGAAGAAAAATAAAATTGTTTTAAAAATATCCACACACCAAGCTTCACGATAATATAGATTCATGGAATACGATTTCCGCAGACAAATTTTGGTACCCATGTTTTCTAGAAGCTTTAAAAGTAAATGTAGTTTAATGAAACTACTACTAACACATTTTAATAATGATTAGCGTTGAAAAGCATTCGCTCTAAGCTTCAAAATTTCCGAGTAATGTATCTCTTTACACAAGTTGACTTTATTATACAAAATTACAAATCCTGTTTTAGCCGCTTAACCTTATGACCGCCACTGACAAAAACCCTTTTGACCGCCACTGACAAAAACTAGTTTCGCTCCCTAGACGCCAAATTATATATTGACCTGACATGTTATGAATTTCTAACTTATTTCTCCTAAGTCAAAGAAGATATTACTAAACATAAAATGCAACTATGAATCCATACTGAACTAGAATATACAAATAACACAAGGTATACCATAATATTTATTTATTAATTTCAATTGAAAGTCAAAGGGTGTCATTGACGTTTCACGGCGTCAGTGGCGTATCAGACACGTTATGTAAGACGCTTTAAAGCGTCTACAGTGGTTCATTTTTTTTTAATGAAACTCAGTTTTGTACTTTTCTAAAGTCAAATACAATTTCAAAATTCGTAAGTCCTTGACACGGCCACTGCAAATTAGCTGAAACGTCGGAATAAAAGTAAGTATGCAAATACTTATTAAATAAATGTTATTAAATTTAAACTTATGTATATGTATGTATAATTGTTACCTTATAAGGCCTAGTTGTGCTGTGAACGTGTCTCATGTGCTTAGCGAGATTGCTCGCTGTGGTGGTCGCTTTAGGACATTGGCTGCATTTGTATGGCTTATCAACCAGGTGGGAACGTTTGTGTACTGTTAGCAGATCCCGGGTTCGACCCTGGTAGGGGCACTCGTCGCATTTAAACGGAAACACATTTTCATGGATTCCCCTGCAATCAATTTTTATAAGAATATTAGATGCTTACTATAACTGTTGCAGCCCAATTAACTCTATCTATACATACAATTACATACATATATTTCACGCGTTTTTCCCATCGGGGTAGGCAGAGACAACAGACTTCCACTTGCTACGGTCCTGACACACATCCTTACTTTCTTTCTTCTTTGCTTTGCTTTCATACACGCTAGTTGCCTAAGGATACTCTTGACCTGGCCCTTCTTTAGGATAGCCTCAATTTGGTCATGGTAAGTTCGCCTTGGTCGACCATTAAAGACTTGCTCGCTCACACTCACTTAGTGAATCTGTTTCGTCAAATCTTCAACATTCAAACATACCTTTCTCTAGCTTGTTCATTATTAGTTCTTTAACGCTCTCTTATCACACTGTTTCGTAATTTATCCATTCAACAAACAAACAATGCATAGTTACATATAATTAATAACAATAAATATAGATAATAGACATATATAATAATAATAATAATAATAACGCACACACTCGACATAGCCGCGCACTAGGGAAACCCTGTGTCGCGGGTGCCATGGACACACAAATAGACAATTACAAATTACACCCAAACTCCGAGACAAATAAATGTAGGCCACACAAATATTTCTCCCGGCCCGGGAATCGAACCTGGGACCTCTGCATGGCAGTCCGGCATGGTAACCGTTCGGCCACGGAGGCAGTTAAATATATTTTTAAAACTATATAATTACTACCCATAGTACAGGGGATCCTAGTTTGGGAGCTAGGCACAACTATGTACTAGATTTGTATCTTTTGGCAATAAAGTTTTATTATTATTATTATTATTATATAGTTTTAAAAATATTAAATCCTGGAATGTAAATGTAGCAACGCCTAAATGTATGAATAAGTTCAGTTTCGCATAAGTTTATTTGCTAATAGTTTTTAACAGGCGCATTTTTTGTGCACACGTCAAGTGACGCTGCTGTCAGACGAACTGCAGGCTCGAGGTCAATATATAAGGGCGCTCCTTCACCGCGAACATGCTCTTGTAATGTAACGTTTAAAAGAGAGCATTACAGGCGGTGAGAGAGGTGAGCCGAGTAAGCGATGCGCGATTGTGAATGATTTCGATATTCGACTTGTTAGTAACTTAGAGGATGGGTTAGTAATCGCTAATCTAGCATTCGAATGTCAAATTAGTAACCCACTGATTTTCGTATTCGAATGATTTGATTGATCATTCATTACTAATTAGTAGTACTAATCCATAGATTCCATAGAGCGTTTTTGCTCGTGATCATCTAACCCTCTCTGACATATCTGATATAGGTACACTGTAAATGTGACGGGGACAGGGATATTTTGTGGTATCGACATGATGAATGAGGTGTTCCGATATAATAATCACTCGACTCGTGCACCCAACCGACTAGCAGGGGCATTCGGTATTGTTCATTATTCAACTCGAGTCGAATGATTGTGCTTGGATTCGACTTAGGCGAATGATTTGTCCATTCGAATGATTAGTATTAGTAACATTCAAAGTCGCGCATCAGTAAGCCGAGCATTCGCTGCGCAACACTTATAACATTCGGTAGCCTCCTTCACCGGGAGCATTCGCCTGTAATGTAACAATCTGTTCAGATTGTAAGGCTGCGACTCCACCAGACATATGTAGTGGAAATGTTTTCAAGTCTTTGTGCGCCCGCAAGTGCCTTTGAGTGCCCGCGAGTGTCTTGAGTGCTTTTTAGTGCCTTCAAGTGCCTTTGAGGGTCTTGAGTGCCTTTTAGTGCCCGCGAGTGGCTTTGAGTGTCTTGAGTGCCTTTTAGTGCCTTTGAAAGCATTTGAGTGTCTTGAGTGCGTTTGAGACTCTCAAAGGCACTCTAGACACTCAACGGCACTCGCGGGCACTAAAAGGCAATCGAGACACTCAAATGCACTCAACGTCACTCGCTGGCACTAAAAGGCACTCAACGTCACTCAAAGGTGTCCGCGGGCACTAAAAGGCACTCAAGACACTCAAACGCACTAAAAGGCACTTAAGACGCTCAAACGCACTCGCAGGCACTGGCATGGTCTCAAAGGTACTCGCGCGCCCTAAAAAGCACTCAATGTCACTCAAAGGCATTCGCGGGCATTAAAAGGCATGCGCGGGCTCTCGCGAGCACTCGTGGACTCTCGCGGGTACCTCGCACATTGCTGGTGGAATCGCAGCCTAATCAAATCTTGGATGTTACATTACAAGCGAATGCTCGCTGGTGAAGGAGGTAGTTTGTAATGTAATGCTCAAAAACGAATGTTCGCAGGCGCATGCTAGCCGGTGAGGGAGGTAGTTTGTAATGTAATGCTCGGAAACGAATCTTGAATGTTACATTATAGGCGAACGTTCTCTGAGAAGGAGCGCCCTAAAATAGCATGCAACCGTAAACCATTTCATGCAGTTGACACTGACACCGCGTGTCTAGATCGGGAGCTCAGTGTATTTGTTGATATCGAAACGGAAGCACAGATATTACTTGTGTTTCCAAACGCAGACTTTACTTTTTACTACGGAAATAGTCATTTTCAATATGGAAATTCTCCATTTTAATTGATCAAAAAACTCACGCCCATAATACCCGACTATACTTTGCACTGGATATTATGATGAAAAATGTAAATAAAGGTGCCATTAAAAATATGTATTTTAAGAATTCTGCAAATGTGAAATAAATCAGTCGAGGAAAGTTTCACCAAACGTGTTTTGCTTTACCATAATCTTGATTATGTCCTCAATAAATCGTTACCGTAATGCCATTACTGAAAAAAATGAAGTTGTTTCAGACATTAAAAAAATCATGTCTCTTAAAATTTCGGACTATCGTTCACATCGACTGCAGCCGACGTTTGCAGTTGCAGTGTAGACTGCACGCAGTCGTATTCTCGACCGCATTCACTTGAACACGACTGCACGCATTAACTGCATAAGTGCAGTCCGTCTGTAAGCAGCTTAAGGACGTAAGTAAGTTGATATCACAGCTATGGCCGTTTCTTAAATTAATCAGACCCATTATGTTCCGGAACACATTCCAATTATTATCATGTCCTTGTTTAACACCTACTAGACGAGCTCTACGAAAGGATTTGCTCTCACACTCACTTGATAGGCAGGTTGCCAACTTCAGTAAACTTGCAATGTAATAGAAACAATAATGTGCCAGATAACACATTTAGACACATTTTACGCAGGGACACTCTGCCTATTTTCTAGATTTATTTCTTATCAGTTATCATTATCACACAATTACAAAAAAAAGTAATCTTATAAGATAGCATAGGTATAAAAATTTTGACTTACATATGTACCACTAAACTGCCTCTCGACCGAGCTGTTTTGCCACAAATGTCACAAAGAAAACTCTTCATCTTCTTCATTTCTAGTAACAAATCTGGATCTTTATGCGGTTTTGACGCGTTTGATCGCTTTTTGCACTCGTTTAAATGATTGTTATAGGTATCCTTAAAAAAACAGATTCTAATTAATGTATGTTCGATTTATTGACATAAACACAAGGTAGGCAGGCTACAGCTTTCCGCTTGCTACGATACCGATAAATCTTTCGCCTCACCAGCACACATGCTTTCATACACGCTCAGCTTTTAGGGGTACTTTTAACCTTTCTTTAAGACTCTTCAATTTGGTCATGGTAAGTTGTCTATGACTTAAAGATGTTATGAATTCCATAATAGGTCTCATGTTGAGTGCTTATGCACTGCACATACCACATGAAAAAAATGTATACCACTGATTGATAGTTATAGGGTACAATCAGGGCGCGTTTATTCGACACGAATTTCATTGCGCTCACGCCGCGCGGCTGCCGCTGGTTGACTCGCAGCGCCCGCGTGCATCTAACTGTCATGGCAAAATACGCACTATTTATTTAGCTTTTACGTTACGGCAAGGCGGACTGCAATGCAGGATAATGAATGCCCCTTTAACTGGGCGCTTAGGGTAGGAGCCTCCCTGCACTTCATACCATTCCTTCCCTGTATACCTCATGCCGATTGGCAAATCTTTCACCACATCACTCTGTGGCGTAATATGCCATAGATACAATAAGAGAAGAAAGGGTACAACTCGGCCAAGTAATGCTATGCTCAAATTTAATATGATTTAATGATTGTAAAGATACCACAAGGAGTTACCTTATCAATACAAGCTATTCTACATGTACTTTTTCTATCATCAATACATATTTTTAAAAAAGAGGTACCAACCATATCATAAAACTCTTTATTACACGATCCACACCCCCACAGTTCAGAGTTGTCTGAGAAGGCAGGCGATGGAATGTTATAATCATCATCATCACTGTTCCTCACACCACCGTTCGCTATTTCATTGTTGCTGTTGGTATCATAGTTGCTATATTCTAAAATGTAGCAATCGTAAGTTCATTAAATCAGGGGTATCGGGTTTTTTAATTTATCGGATTTTTTAAATTATAAACAACGGTATTATATTGTATGTAGGTTACTATTTTTCTTTGATATCAGTTTATAATGCAATTCAATACATGTGTTTAGTTAACATTCTCATTGACATTTAATTTAAGATACTAAATTGACAAGTAAAGGAAATTATGAATAAATGATTATGACTAAAGCACATAAATAGAAAAGTGCTTCATAACTATTTTCAATACACTATGAACAAAGCTTCTTCTTTTGTGTTGTTTATATTGTCAGAAAATGTGACAAGAATGATAAGGTTGAAAAGACGCGACTTAGTGATAATAGGCATATTTGCGAAAATGTTGAAAATCGACACTCTAGATCACAGCTTTAGGTACTCTCAACACAAATTTTAAAATTTTGCTGTTTTGTTTTTTAATGTAATATGGTATTTCTCCTAAAAGGGCTAAGTTCTCTGATTTCGGTGGTCGAATTTTTTTCTTAATTTTGGGAAGAACATTGAGCGGGAAGGAAAAAGAACTCAAATTTACATAAAAATCCGTTAGGAAATTTGAGTTCTCCTCCGTTAATTGGGCAACTAGATTCTTAACAGTTAATGACATATTTGATCCACCGAATTCAGCTTCCACCGAAGTCAGGGTAATTTAACAAAAGGCATAATTTTTGCATAAAATATTATGAAAGAGGCATTAAAAACATTCAATAATTTACATAAACTTTTACCAATATTAATATGACTAACTTAACTTTAAAAACCAACATTTATTTATAAATCGACCAGAACAACGCAAACAAATGTCACACATGACTATTAATTCAAATCAGTTTTCAGTTTGGCCATTCAGCCTTTTTTCAATCACACAAGTATTTCTTAAAAAAAACTTTAGAACGTTACCTGTAGGTACAAAACCAATAAATTTTTTGGAACTTGCGCGATTAATGTTGCAACTTCAAAATCTTTCCTTTGCTTTTTCTTCGCATACCTCTGTCTATCTTTTTCTTTAAATCTTTAATATAATTGGATCGCTTTTTATTTTTGCTTTTCTAGCACGTTCCTTCATCTTCTTGATTTCCAGTTTTTCTATTCTGTTTTGATTTTCCTTATTCATATCGAGTTCTTAGATTTTCGCGATTGTTACACATAGAAAATGAAACTATTTTTCCGGATATAAATCGCGTATATTTGTTTTTTTTCAAACAAATCAATGTTTCGGGCCTTTCACAGGTCCCATGGTCACGGTTGACTTTTCCTTATTCATTTTCAGCGGGAAGCAAGTAGTAATATAAAATTGTGAAAATAAATAGTAACTAAACATTTATATGAAAAAAACCTCTAAAATTCTTGCTTTTCAAAGAAAATTTTTCGACGGCAGTTTTTAACGACTTCGGTGGAAGCTTTTCTGAATTCAGTGGCATAAAATCAATATTTTTCTAAAGATCAAAAAATATATATTTTTTTGATATTACTTGTAAACTACAACCAATAAATTGTTATTATATTTTAGTAGTTACAACACATTATCAAAAAATATTACATACAAGCATAAAATTTAGTTTTTGAAATTTCGTATACACCGAATTCAAAAATCATTCTGGACCAAATCCACCAAATTACGTAATTACACGCAAACAGTTCTAAAATCGGCAACAAATTATCCACCACTTCTTTCCAGCCGCAGAGGCGTGATGGGCGAATAATACGAACGAATTGCTAAGCTTGTAAAATGCTTCACTTGTGAGTAACAACCACCGAATTCCCGCATAAGCCTGGGACACGCGGCAATCTTGGTATTGTGGTAAAACCATTGTCTAGTTTATTGTGTAATTCTGTTAACGTAAGATTATAAGTACTATCATCTAATTTATTATATGTGAACTAAAGTCTGATATTGATATACGGTTTCAATTTTGAGAAATGTAACTTTTTTTTTGGATTTGGGTATTTCGGATTTTTTTTTCCATTAGGTACGAAAGGTTTATTGGGAAGATTTGGTGGCCTCCAGTTAGCTTTCGACCTATATTATACACTCTTTTTTTTTTGTAGATTTTTGTTGATAAACAAGTGGAGTTTGACAGAAAATTGCGGCTTTGGAGAAATGCCCTAATCTTAAATAACCATGCTACACAGGGTGTAAATTTGAGACGGGGCAGCAAGACCTTAATCGTTGTAGTTACAGGAAAACGGTTCTAGAAGACTATCCATGAATTTTGAAGATATTTTCATTGGCATTCACAGATTTTGAAAAAATGGTACAGTCAGCAAGATAAAAGGCAATTTTTACAAAATTTTTTTTATGCCATGCGATCCGGTCTTTGGCAAGGATCAATAGTCTCTATGGGACCCATTGAGGTAAGAGCTTAGACTATGGAAACTAAAGGACATGTTATGTTGACATATATAACTCAGACGTTATATGAATATAATGCATTTCGACGTTGAAAACATAAACATGTTATTGTCTTTGTTTAACTCTTGCATGCCATCTTAAGCCAAAAGAGATAACATTACATTGGTCTGTGTCAAACACAGGAATCGAATATACGTAACGTCATCTTAAATGCCAACCGTGTCCATTTCGCAGTACATGAGGCACATGATACGGTTGTCAAAGGGAAGTACGTCAAATGTCAAAACAAATGTTTTTCCAAGTGTTTTATTGAATTATTCTCATGTATTGTAATAAAATGGACAAAAATGTTGACAGTGAGAACATTTTAGTATTATTTAAAATTCGTCACTACATTATTACGGGATGTGGCATTTGAAAAAGCGAAGATCGACCGAATGTAACATTGTACAGGCACGTGTTATTTTTCTGTATATATATCACACAAAAGCCCATATATCCCATGGTTAGACATATTTAAGTAGTTTATTCATAAATCTTACCACATTTTGCTTTGGTTTCTTCAGATTGCCTGTTGGTTTGTATATTTTGATGATTGTTGTTAAGGATTATTTTGAGATAGTGTTGTTCTTGGAAGCGTATATATTATCGATATTCTGTTATTAAAATAATTCACTACGAGGTTTTTATAATTTTATTATTATTATTTTTACTATTTCAAGTTTACCTACAAATAAAAAAAGAAAAAAAAATGGTTGGAAATCATACCGCCGGATAATAGTGCCGAATATAAACATTAAATCAAAGACCATCTTCAATTGTATTCGCTTCATTTTGAAGAGTCAAATTTTAACATAACTTTGAATGTAACTAGATTACATGATAATGCAATTCCATCATTAGGTTTATTGGTAAATAATTTTATATTTAATTTAGATTAAACAAGACTGCTTTACTAGGCATTCTCAGTTCCTGAAAACAAAATTATCCACTTGTTTCCGATTTTTTCCCATTGACAACTCTAACTACTAAAAATTCTTATTTTATAAAGTCAGCAATACAAAGATCATGTTGGTCTAACGTTGCCGGGTTAAGGCCAATACCAACGTATAGACAGCCTATTTGCCTTGCCTTGCCTTGCCATCGTTTGGCGTCACTCGCCTAACTGACCGAGTGAAGGCGAGCGCTAACGTGTATAGAGCTCGTTTGACGTGGCTTGTCACAACTCGCAGTTGCTCGTGACTACTTGTCTCACTTCGGAGAAGTGTCAATTTTTCTGCACAAATTAAAGGCGCTCGGCGAATAGTAGTCAATTGACATTATATAATCAGACAATTGCATGCTATTTAATATATGCGAAACATGTTTATACTAACACTGTCTCTCGTTACATCTCCTGTTATACCATGTTTTAAGCAAATAAACGTATGATAATTATATTATTATTGATAATATTAGTACTTTCATTTATTTCCAAAATTAAATGGAAGTATTAAAGATTTACTCAAATCATTTCAATCATCAGATTCACTTAAATCTTTCACTGATTTTAATAATAATAATAATTTATTTAAGCCTTCTACAAATAATGGTGTATTATAACTAAATAAGTACCAGTTTACCATGTTTGGCTTGTTAGTAATTGACTCAAGGATATCTGCCCCCTGACTTTCAAGCTAGGCTAACCTGTGTTATGAAAGACAGTGGTTCGGTTATTTAACAAGTTTACAAGCGTATTTATGGTGCAGTATAGAGAATATTACAGAAAGAAAAAAAAGAAAAAGAAAACAAACAAAAGACTTAAGGTTAATGATTAAAGTTATACATAATGGATGTAATAAGTGAATGTGAGAGAGTAAAAGTGCGTAAGTGCATGCGTTGGGAGTGAGTGTGTGTGTGTGTGTATGTGTGTGTGTGCGTGTGTGTTTGTGTGTGTGCATGCGTGTTTGTGTGAGCGTTTGTGCGTTTCTTCGTGAGTGATAATGAGATTTAGGGCGGACAAGAGTGTTACCTATGTAGAGTTTAAGTTGTAGAACCACAAGGTTCAATTTTGGGCCCTATTCTCTTTATAATCTACAGCGCGGATGTGATAGATCAAATAAAATTCTGCAAGTATCATATTTACGCTGATGATATACAGATTTATATATCTTGTAAACCATGTGATACTCCTGAAGCCGTGGATAAGTTAAACGAGGATCTAGAACGTATAGCCTCTTGGTCAGATTCAAATTCGTTAGTGCTAAATGGCAGTAAATCCAAATATATGGTGCTGGGTACAAAAAATCAAATAGCGAAAATTAATAGTCGTAATGTTACTTTGGCGATCAGGGGCGTGAACATTGAGCGAGTAACTGAGGCTCGGAATCTTGGACTCCTTATGGATGAAACACTTCACTTTGAGAATCATGTGTTAGGCATCGTCAAAAATTGTTTCTATAGGTTAAAGGTATTATATAACATCAGAAATTACCTTAATACCGACATTCGCATTAAGTTGTGTGACTCACTAGTTCTGTCAAAATTTAATTATATGGACGTGGTGTATGGGCCGCGACTGTTGAAGCGCACGCAACAAGTAATTCAGCGAGTGTAGAACGCCTGCGCAAGGTTTTGCTTTGATATACCACCACGCACGCACGTAACCCCTTACATAAACAACGCAAATATTTTAAAAATGAAAACGCGAAGAGATCTACACTTAGCTACAGTTCTGTTTGGGGTTATAAAATACAGAATCCCGTCTTATTTGGCTGACGAGTTGATATGGTCCCGTGATGTAAAGACAGCTTTCACCAGAGCGTCAGCTTGGTCGCTAGTCCTGCCGCGCTGTCGCACCGCCGCATTCAGCGGAGCTTCTTGTAGCCAGTGTAATAAATTGCGATTTCTCTACATTTAGTGTAAGTAGATTATTATTAAGCCATTCCATAACCAACCTGAATGCAGATTCTGCAGAAGCAACCGTGTCGGCCCAGCCACTCCCAGAGACGATTAATGCCGTATCATCAGCGTAAGCAAAGATACGACATTGTGGAATAGTCATACTGCACAATTCGTTAATGTAAACCTGGAACAACGTAGGGCCGAGAATACTCCCTTGCGGCACTCCGTACTCTATAGTTTCCTGCTGGCTTATGTAGGTACCGATTTTAGTACATTGAGTTCGATTTGACAAATAATCGGCAAATATACTGTGAACTTTCCCCCTAACACCCACTTCGCTTCAAGTTTATTTAGTAGTAGTGGGATAGAGACGGTGTCAAACGCCTTTGAGAGGTCCAAGAAAATGTCAAGGCATTTTTGCTTTTCGTCTATTTCATTGACAGCATGTTCTACTAGAGAACCTATAGCATCATGGATCTACCCTTTCTAAAGCCAAATTGGTCATTGGAGATGATGTTGTTGGCCTCTAGGAAGCTAACCCCACTAAGGTTCAAAATTTTCTCAAGAATTTTAGAAAGGGCTGGTAACACCGAGATAGGTCTGAAATTATCGACATTATCTCTGTCACCACTTTTATATGTATATAGGGTGTACTACAGCTTTTTTAAGGGCTTTAGGAAATGCGCCTGTAGTTATTGCCAGTATGCAAATATATATATACCTAGTCTTGCCATAAATATTGTAATAAAGAAAAAAAAAATTTTTTAACTGCAAATAACATTTATTACTTTTATAGTGTGTTAGTTTAATACATAAATATACAACAATTAAAAATATAAAAAGCTTATTCGAAGAGGTCTCCATTGGCTGCAATACAGTCCTTTAAACGTTGAGGCCAGTTATCAATAGAAGCACTCACTCTTTCCATGGGAAAATTCTTCACTGCCAATCGTATAGATTATTTTAGGGACTCCAAATTATCATGGCGTTTAGAGCAAGATGTACTCTCTAAAACTGACTATAAATCATAATCCAGCGGATTAAAATCGGGACTAGACGACGGCCAGTCTTCAGCTCTGATGAAGTCCGAAACTTTCGCTTCCAACCAAGACTGCGTGGACCGAGCTTTATGACCCGGCGCCGAGTCTTGCTGGAAGGACCATACTTGGTTATTGAACATGGTTATGGTTAAGGGGCTTAACTACCTTCTCAAGAATGGTATCTTGATACACTTGTGCCGATGTTTTGATACCTTTTTCACAAAAATATGGCTCAGTCACTCCTTCATAGCTAACACCCCAGCAAACCATCACTGAAGTCGGATAATGTCCACGTTGCACTCTGTCGACTAATTGGGAAGCTTCCTTAGAGCTTTGAGCATAAATACGGTCATTTTGTTTGTTAAAATGTTGCTCAATTGTAAAAATTTTCTCATCCGTAAACAAAATTTTTCTGTGACCTCCCTTTGCGTACCGCTTCAGTAGTTGTTTCGATTTTACCACCCTATTCTTCTTTAAATTATCAGTTAAGAAATGACCAGTGCGTCTCTTGTAGGCTGCAAGTCCTAAGTCATCTTTTAAAATACGCGACATGGTTCTAGGTGCTATCTTCATTTCCCGAGATAAAATCTTTTGCTTTCGGACAGGATTTCTTCGAATTCTTTCCCTTACTGCTTTGACCACCTTTTTCGTACCAACACTACGCGGACGGCCAGATCTTCTTCTGTCACAAACAGAGGAAGTCTCATTGTACCTATTAATAGCCCGGTACACAAACATTTTACTAATACCAAGTGTATGGAGAGTTTTAAAAATTGCATTTGGCTCCATACCTACTTTGTGTAATGCAATCACAGCGATTCGGTTATCTTTATCACCCCACTCCATTTTAATATCGCAAAATATTGTACAATGTATTGGCGCCAAAAAGAAAACACAATGAACAATCGTATAAAAATGACAGATTCGAAATTCAAATGTAATATTTTTTTATTTTTAAGTGTAACAGTATTTATGGCCAGACTAAGTATATATATAATATACTCATTTCAGTGAATTGAAAACTTTAAAACGCTCCCCTGTAAACTTGTTAATTTCAACATACGATACTTTACGAAGGAGGGGTCGATTTGTCACCTTTTTCATAAATTAAAATTATGTACGAATGACAAAAGTCCCTTGGAAAAATTGGGGCTATGTAAAAAATTAAATTCATAAAAACAATACAACAGTGTTCAACAATTGAAAGACGCACTTGCAGCAATTTTCAATGGAATGCATCCGAGTAAAATTTCAGCCGCTACTTGCTCTTTGCGGAAGAGAGCGAATCGATGCATCCGCCAAAGCGGTAATCAATCCGAGCACTTACTATCATAGATTATTTATGTTATTTTGCTTTGTGTTATTGCTTTTATTTTGACATACATAATACGTTGTCAATTTGTTAGATTCCTTATTGTTAGTTTCCTTAACTACCTAGAATAACTGATTACTAAATATGTCCCTACAAAATGTATGGTAAAAAGTTTTTTGCGATTTCCGACATTTCGAGTACTCTTACCTCAATGGGTCCCATAGAGACTATTGATCCTTACCAGAGACCGGATTGAATAGCATAAAAGAAGTTTTGTAAAAATTGCCTTTTATCTTGCTGACTGTACCATTTTTTCAAAATCTGTGAATGCCAATGAAAATATCTTCAAAATTCATGGATAGTCTTCTAGAACCGTTTTCCTGTAACTACAACGATTAAGGTCTTGCTGCCCCGTCTCAAATTTACACCCTGTATATCATGGTTATTTAATATTAGATTAAAGTAGCTGGCACTTGCTGCCCCGTCTCAAATTTACGCCCTGTATATCGCAGTCACAAATCAAACAATAAACGTTGTGTTACTGTAGTAAAAAAAAAAAAGTATACCTAGAAATTATTCCTGTTTTTGTGTAGTAATTATGTTTTTTTTCTGTATTTCAATGCTTAATTACTTACTACATACAAAAATTTTGGAATGGTGGAATACATTTAAAAAAAGAGAGGTAACCCAGATAATACAAAAACTACTTATACAAATACAATACATGAATAATTGCTTCATTGAATGTAGGTGTGGGTTATCACACAATAACTGTCTGGGTTATACTATACAGGGTTATTTGTAAAATGAGAGAATGCAAAAATTTATTGTTGTTACCACGGCGGGTAATCTTCAAAGAAGATTTTTGGGCATTATGCCATTGGAGGAGCGAATTAGAACATGACTTTCTTTTTTTTAATTATTCAAAATGGCCGTCGCTGCCATTTATTTTTGTCTTTGACATCGACATTTTAACTCTGGTTTATTATGATTTCATTATGGTACATAGTTGTCTATGACTTCATTACTAGTTTATCCTTGATCGAGTGAAGTATTGTTGATTTCTATCCGTCCTTATCCTCTCAGCTAAACCAGTAATTTGGTGTGCCGTGTGGTAATTATCACCATGTACAAAAAGGTTGCATAGAAAACTGGGAGTAAACGACAGGACGTTAAATTGCATCGGTTTCCCACATCTGAGATAAGACTCCAAAAGTGGTTACAATGCATTGGTAGTATTCAACTTCGCAGCCATAATTTGCAGAGACTACGTAGGATAGGTGTTTGTAATAAACATTTTGAAAAGAGGTTCATTATTGCCACATTGCGTTTACGTTATGGTGCTTATGCAACTTTATTTTCGGAAAACCAAATAACAAGTGGCTTGCCTGCAGAAGTTTCCGAAAACATTGGTAAGTAAACACTTTACTATAACATATTACCTTTATTATTAACTTTATTATACTAATACGCTGCTCGCTAATGCCGTTATTAAATCTTAATTAATGAATTAACTTAATTAATACCGTTAATTAACAGTACGTTAGTCGTTGGTACGAAACTCAATAAACTGGTACTTTGCAAAATGTACTAAAATCTGTTTTAAATTTTATTTGTTTATTAGTCATAACTTGTATCAACATGTAGCATGTTATCTTTTCTTAATCTAAAACTCTGTACTTTTAGGTAATTAAAAGAATGTAAATAAACAAGAGCTATCGAGAAAAGTTGACATGTTAATTAATAATTGCTCTTTACAATATTTAGGTATAAACCCGCGACAAACAATAGGATAACACAAATACAAAGAAACAACACAAATCGAGCATTTTCAATTATCCGACCCATCTGCAGTATAAAATATTTATTTCTTGTTCTAATGAGGCTTAAGTACACCCTGTTGTGACTATATCATACACATGGGGAAGCTCATAAACAAAGCCAATAGCACTCCCTTGGTCAGAGTTATATTATAATAAACTCTTTATACAGTCTACTGCAAAATATTAGTTATTGTATGATTCAATTTTTGTTATTTAATTATGTATGCGAAGTATATAATATTGAAAAGATTTATCTCCTTAATAACCTGATAAATAAAATTGTCGGTTTTAATGTGTGAAGCTCACTTCTGAATAACAATCATAATTCTTTATTTGAATTTCTGTACAAAAACGTTGAAAATTGAAACTGAATCCTTATTCATAAAATCACGTGATTTTACTTGTCCAATGATTAGGTACATCTTTAGCCTGAAGATTGAACATTCTCAGTGCTGAAAAAGATATTAAATGGAATTGAGTCATTGATCATTTGCATTACAGGTTTGGTGCAGATTTGTCCGGTCTTACCTAACACTTCATGCAGATGGAAAGCAGACCACGAGGAAAGCGTGTCCAAGGTATGTTATTATTTTTAATTCATTTGATTAAATGATTTTTAGCCTCCTCTAATCATTAAGCTACTACGGCTTTTTATCCAAACTAACCAGTTTATTTACTTTAATTTTTTTAAATTTCAGAGTCGGAAAGTGTACTTACCAGGGAAATTGGACCCTCGACTCCCAAACGAAACAAAAATATTAGAAAACGTTTGTTTCACAGTATGAATACCCTGACACCTAAATGTAGAAAAATTTATAAAATGTATCGACTGTCCAAGAAGCAGTTAGATTTTAATAAAAGAGCAAAAAGGGCAGTTATGTTTAATGAACGCGATGTTTTGAATAAATTAACTTCAAAATGAGTCCAGTTGCAAAAAAAATATTTTGGATGCAAATCAAGCAATATGCAGAAAATTAAAGGACGAAGATTTTCAAACGAAGAAAAAATGATTGCTTTATCAATTTTCAAACAGAGCCCAAAATGTTACAGTTCTTACAAAGAATATTTATTTTGCCGTCTAAAAATACCCTCAACAAAATGATATCGAAGTTGAAAGTTCTTCCTGGAATAAATAACCAAATCTTTGACACGATAAAACAAGAGGTAAATCTATTTTTAAACTATCTTATATTTTATGTTTGTTAGCGAAGACGGCTGGTTTACTTACTTTTTTGATGTTAGTAATCCGGACTATGAAGCTATAGGTCCCTGGATCGGATCCTGCTATGATGTGAGTCATGGAAGTAATTTATATTTATATCTGTTGTCTGCGCCCATAGTACCTAGCTTTTCTTATTTACGACTAGTAACTAGACTGGTGGACATTAGTCAATTGTCCCAAGATATTTATTATTTATTTCAATTATTATACCAAAGTCTACAGAGTACATAGCATAAAGTAATGTAAAATAAATCATAAAGTAAGGTAAGGGTACTGACACTGTGCAAGAGTAAATGTTAGATTGAATTATTATTTATTGAATTGATTACATCATTATGTAATTCCAATTTTTATATCAATATTTTTGTTTATTCCAGGCGACCTATTGGAATGAAAAAGAGAGATATTTCTCCATCATTTTGCCTTTTGCCTAGCATTCGTTTGACTCGTTTACAACATCGCCAAAATACCTGAGCGCATGTTCAAAAGGGTAGGTTAGTTTGTTTTGTTCAATTAATGGTTTTCAATTGTTTTAAACAAAAATTCCTGTGACTAACTGTCTATAGCTAATCAAATTATGGATAGATCTACTAAAGTCTTCATGTTAAATTTCTGTGTAATTTCACGAACTAAATAAGTACCCTACCGTTTACCTGTAAACTTACGATTTGCTTGCACGTAAAGATTTTTAGTTTTAACATTTGGTACATATAAAAAATGTTAATTAAACAAAAGAGTGTTGCAGCCTAATTTGTTAAAGTATGTACAAATGCCCATAAATATGTTTGTTTTTACTAAAAAAAATTGAAAATAAACTAGGTCAAATAACAAAATGTGTATCATTTTTCAAAATTTATTCATCTAATTAATACCGAATAAGCCTAGGAGCCGGAAAAAATATGCAAATTGGCTGTTAACACTGTGCCTTCGCTTTCATGTCATACGTAATTTAAAAAAAAAACGAACTGTCATGTTCTAAATCGCTCTTTCCTTATTGGCCATTATATATAAAGGGGAGTGGTTCGTCTGATACGTAGTATCTCTTATTAGTTTGTGGTTGTTACCATCATTCCTTGAAGTCTGAAGTCGAAAGTGTATGCATATGCAGGGTTATTTTTAAAATACTAACAATTTCGCAGGATTGTATTATTAACATCAGAAACAACAACTTTTGTTCCATTACTTCATTCATCACATTTTACTTTCATACAAAAATAGAAATATTTAAATATATGCTCTAAACTGTGAGAACTAGGAAGCACGCGGGAGGCGTTGCTAATAAATAATTTACTACCAAATACAGATCTAAAAATTGTCAGGTAGTACAACAAAAACTAAAAGTCAATTTTTAGTAAAATAATATTTTGTAAAAGTCATGGAAGGGGAGTTGTTGTTTATGATGTTAGTAATATAGTGTGAAATAGTTAGTATATTATAAATAACCCTGTAAATTGTATTCTTCATTTTTATCATGACATACAAAAATGGCGCTTCTTAATTGGGGTGTGGGAGTAACTTGATCAGTGATTACATTAGCATCGATGGATTACATACCTTTTTTAATAGAGAGTTCAACTAGTCTTTTATTGCTGCGCTGGCAAAGGTCTCTGAACATAATACATCCATTAAGTAAATTCAGGCAGTTCTGGCATATGTGGTTTGGTAAGTTGTCTGTTTTATTCACCTAAAATAAATTAAGGTTGTTTACTAAAACTACAACAAGCAAATAAACTTACCTGGACAGTTGTACACATAAAATGAAATATTTGTTTACTATTGGAAGTGGTCTGATGGAACTATATCATGTTGCAATAATATTCATATGTTATTAGGTGGAATATTATACTCATGCTTATCTTCATAACAAATTAATTATATATCCCACTGCTTGGAGCTTATTCCTACTACGCAGAGATTGTCAGTTGGCACTGGTTGGTAGGTAGTGAGTGGACTTTACACATTCTCCAAAGCTTGTAAACTTATTTTTAGTAGTAATATTATTTATTAAATTTTTATTGAATTGATATTCAATTATTTTTTGTGAAATTACTCCACTAGTTTGTTATAATTATTAATACAAAGATCGAACACTCAGAAAAAATTCTTCTTC